TCTATCTATCTATCTATCTATCTATCTATCTATCTATCTATCTATCTATCTATCATCTATCATCTATCTAATCACCCAAGATTCAACACTAATTTTTCTTTTGTCGCCTCAAATGCCCCAGCTAGGTTGAGAACTGGTTGTTTCTCAGTGAAAGGGGTAATTGATGTTTGTGCATGGTAATTGTAAATGTTCCATCAGTGTCTTGTGGCAAGGAGAGCAAATGATAAACAATGCATAACAATATCATCATACAAATGTTGCAACTAAAATATTTGCATCAAGTATCAGAATGAAAATAGAAAATCCCAACACTTGCCTGATGGTGTCATCAGCCTTTGCTTATGTCACTGAACAGATGTATCTGGTTTTACTTTCTCTGACCTCTGCTCATATAGAAAGTAGTTCTCTGATTACTCTTCAAATACAGGTTTATGCTTTATTAAAGTAGGACTTTGTGAGTGTGTGGTACTAAAGGTATACCAGTCAAATGGTACCGGACTAAAATGTGGAAGGCTGTGTGTTCAAGTTCCACCTTAGCCATGAAAGCCAACTGAGTGACTTTGGGCCAATCCCTCTCTGTCAGCCCAACCCACTTCACTGGGATGTTATGGGAAAAATAAGAGGCAGGTGAATTGGATATATTTGCAGCTTTGAAATATTTGTAAAAATAATAAAGGCAGGATATAAATAAATAAAGAGATAAAATAAATGCACCTTTCCAATGCATATTTTCTGTGCACCTGCTTCTCAGCTTAGTGTCATCTTGCAGAAAATTCACTGGGAGAGCCCAAAGAATATACGTGTCTGATGCTCTTCTTTATGCATTGAATTGTCATGTCTTCCTATCTCTTGTTATATCTAAGCTAAAACACCTATGAAATCTCACAACAGAACTAACATTTACATATTAATTTAATTCCCTTTGATTGAACTCAAGCTTCATAGAACAGAATTTTATTTAGAAATGACATCTCCACTGAGAACTAATATATGTATCAAATAAAAATACTTTAGGAAAATGTATATTTTAGGAAATTTGCATTTATATAAATGTATATAATAGGAACTTTCCTAGTATTAGGAAGCTTAGGGCTTTTTTAAAATACTATTTTGAACCAATAGACATGCAAGGAGAACCAGATGTTTTCAGGTAAATATACTTCTTGATTTATCAGTGCCAATCATTTAACCACTGGAAATAAAAATGTGCATATTATCAAATAATCTCTTGTATCACAAGAGAAAAAAAGTAAATAATATTATGATATTCTGCTAACTTTGTGGAAACCACAATATTGACATTAGTGGTTTATCTTGGACTAGACTGGAGGCTTCCCAGATGGACTTGAAAGGTCAAGTTGAGTAATCTGAATTTTGTGTCTGCTGTTGAGTGTTCCTGAAAAACTCCAGATGATATTAATCATAACAGTTTCTATCCCTGTCTCTACAAGTGTTTAACATGATGTGGAGAGTCAACTTAAGCAGTAATTCTCTCAACCCAATTCACCTCACAGAGTTGTTGTGAGGATAATAGAAAGACAATCAACCATTTTCCATTTTCAGTTGCCTTCAGAAATTGTGGGAGCTTTATCACTGGAAGCTTTCAAGAAGAGACTAGATTGCAATCTGTCAGAAATGGTGTAAGGTCTCCTGCTTGGATGGGGAGTTGGATTAGATGACCTACAAGGTCACTTCCAACTCTCTTAATCTGTAAAGGATCTGTAAAGGAAGGAGTATCATGTATATTTGATACCTTGAGTTATGTATAAAAATAATCAAGTAATTAAAAATAATTACATTTAAAAGTGTTTAAAAAATTATCCTCCAAGGGTGCTTTTTTTTCTATATTGAATTTTAAAATGAAATATAGAGTTTAAAGCATCCAAAAACATAAATTGCAAGTGAAGTATCATATAGTAGGATGTGGACAAAATCTGTATTTGAAGAACAGGATGATTAAGAACAGGTTAAGACAGTGCAAATGAGATGGTCGCAACCTACCTGGCCCTTTCAGTTCAACTGCCCCCACCCAGCCCTGAAACGGTCTCTCTAATTGTTAGATCTGGAGTTTCAGTGCTTATAATAGTGATGCTGTAACAGGAAAAAAACAACAACAACGATCATCTTTCATTGCTAGCTCAAAATGCTATAGAGGAAAAGAAACAGAGAAGCGGTATTGATTTCAATAATTAAATGGCATATCTTCATCTGTTTTTGTCCCACAGTGGCTCAGTGACTTAGTGGGTAAGATGCTGAGCTTGTCGATCAGAAAGGTCAGCAGTTCAGTGGATTGAATCCCTAGCACCGCATAATGGAGTGAGCTCCTGTTACTTGTCCCAGCTTCTGCCAACCTAGCAATTAAAAAACATGACCTAGCAGCAATGTGGACTTCAGTTGCAAAGGGTGCACTGTTGGAGGATCAGATTGGGGACAAGTTATTTTGGAGGAGGCGTCTTTATGCCTTATTAGCAATAGTAATAGCACTTAGACTTACATACCATTTCACAATGCTTTTACAGCGCTCTCTAAGCAGTTTACAGAGTCAGCATATTTCTCCCAACCATCTGGGTCTTCATTTCCACCTCAGAAGGACGGAAGGCTGTGTCAACCTTGAGCCGGTGAGAACCGAACTGCTGAACTGCAACCAGCCAGCAGCCAGCAGAAGTAGTCTAGAAGTAGTTAGAAAATCTTTGCACCACCATGGCTACTAAGAGTCAGTACAATCAATGACACCATGAAATACTGTCAAATTGTTACTGACAATCTCTATTCTCAATAAAATACATATGGGTGCTTTTTCTTCTAATAAATGACACTTGTATTTTATATCTTTGTTTCTGTGTTTGTACACGTAATTGTTGACTTACAGCAAGTCATTTAGTGTTGATTCAGTTACAACAACAGCACTTGAAAAAAGGGACTTATGACAGTTTTTCACAGTTATGACCATCACAACATCCCCATGATTATGTGATTAAAATGCAGACACTTGGCAATCGGTTTATATTTATGACAGTTGCACTGCCTCGGGGTCAAGTAATCCCCTTTTGTGACC